TTTTGGATTCTCTATTCTCTTTCACTTATATATATTTGTTTCAATGATACTACCATATGTTGGGAGCTCTGGTAACATAGTGCCTAAGGCACTTGACTGCTAACCAGGAGGCTGGCGGTTCAAAACCACCAGCCACTCTTTGGAAGGAAGATGGGGCAATCTCCTTCCGTAGTGATACTGCCTCGGAAACCCAAGGTGGGGTCGCTATGAGTGGAGTCCGACTCAATGGCACATAACAACAACAACAACAACAACCATATGTTGATTCTAGGGCCCTTTGCTTTGATACCTCTTAAGGCAAGTACCGCCTCACTAGCCTTCTTTTCAACATTTTATTAGCTGTTTTTGGACATTTATTATTCTATATAAACTTCAAGATAATTTTGGGCTCTTAATTGGATTTTGTTAGATTGTACTTAGAATTGCATTAAAATTGTAAATTAAATTTTGGGAAAAAGACATTTTATTCCCATCCAAGGACATAGTATTTCTCACCATTTGTTCAAATCTTGTTTTATGTTTTAATATTTTACTGTTTGGCAGAAGATATTGTAAACAAAGTCAGTGGAAAACATACTTGAAATACAATGTTTTTAATGAAGAGGAAAAATAAAGAGTTTATAAGATATAAAGAGCTCTTATAAATGGATGAGAGTGATAAACAACCCAACAAAAAACGTGAAAAGGACATGAATAGGCAATTTACAGAGAAGTAAGTCCAAATACACAAAAAACATAAAGAAAGATGCTCAAACTCACTGATAAAGATTTTTAAATTGAAGATGCAATCAGGTATCACTTTACACCAAAGAGAGGTGATACAACAGAATGTGGAAATTATTGAATGATATCATTAATATCAGATGCAAGTAAAATATTACAGAAGATACAAAAACAGTTGCAGCAGTATATTGACAGGGAACTTCCCGAAACACAAGCTGGATTCAGAAGAGGATGTGGAATGAGGGATGTCATTGCTGATGTCAGATGGATCTTGGCTGAAAGCAAAGAAAACCAGAAAAATGTTTGTGTTTTATTGACTATGCAAAAGCATTTGATTGTGTGGATCATAATAAATTATGCATAACATTGAGAAGAATGGAAATTCCAGAACACTTAATTGTAATCATGAGGAACCTGTACATAGGCCAGAAGGCTGTCATTTAAACAGAACAAGGGGATACCGTATGGTTTAAAATCAGGAAGGAAGTACGTCAGAGCTGTATCCTTTCACCATACTTATTCAGTTTGTATGCTGAACAAATAATCCTAGAAGCTGGACTATATGAAGAACGTGGCATCAGGACTGGAGGAAGACTCATTAACAACCTACGATACGCACATGACACACACAACTTTGCTCACTGAAAGTGAGGATGAATTGAAGCACCTACTGATGAAGACTGAAGACTCCAATCTGCAGTATGGATTGTTGTTGTTGTTTTTATATGCCGTCGAGTCGGACCCGACTCATAGCGACCCCTCCTTGGGTTTCCAAAGCAGTATCACTACCGAAGTAGATTGCCCCATCTTCCTTCCGAGGAGTGGCTGGTGGGTTTGAACCACCAGCCTTCTGGTTAGCAGTCAAGTGCCTTAGGCACTATGCTACCAGAGCTCCCACAGTATGGATTACACCTCAATATAAAGAACACAAAAATCTGCACAACTGAACCAATAAGCAGCATCACGATAAATGGAGAAAAGATTGAAGTTGTCAAGACTTCATATTACTTGGTTCTACAATCAACACCAATGGAAGCAGCAGTCAAGACTTCAGACTATGTACTGCATTGGGCAAATCTGCTACAAAAGATCTCTTTAAAGTGATGAAGAGCAAAGATATCTCCTTGAAGACTAAGGTGAGCCTACCCCGAGCCATGGTATTTTCAGTTGCCTCATATGCATGTGAGAGCTGGACACTGAGTAAGGAAGACTGAAGAAAAGTTGATACTTTTGAGTTGTGGTGTTGGCGAAGAATGCTGAAAGTACCATGGACTGCTAAAAGAACTAATAGATCTGTCCTGGAAGAAGTGCAGCCAGAATGCTCCTTGAAGTGGAAAATGGGCAGATTTCATCTCACCTACTTTGGTCATGAAGGGACTATTCCCTGGAGAAGGATATCATGCTTGGTAAAGTGGAGGGTCAGTGAAAAAGTGGAAGGTTCTCAACAAGATGGCTGCAACAATGGGGTCAGGTATAGCAAAGATTGTGAGGCTGTCGCAGGTCCAGGCAGTGTTTCGTTCTGTTGTCATGGTGTCGCTATAAACTGGAACTGATGACAGCAGCTAACAACAACAACCACAAGTGATTTATACCAAGAAAATTCCAGAACCAGTGATTTACAGATTAGCATAGTTCAGGTCTCCAAACCTCAAAGAAAGGACAAGCTATTCCTAATATGTAGGCTTCTCTTTCTGAGGCCTCTAGGAGCTTTCTCTTTCTTGTTTTCTGTTTCTAAATCATTTCATGTAAATGCAAAGTGGTTGTTTAGAGGACCAAGGGTGCTTTTTGTACAGGATCAAGCCAAGAGGCGGGGGCAATATCCAAATGTGGGACTAGACAATTGTATTGTGTAGATTAGCAATTCTCAAACTTTTCTGCTCAGGGCCCTATTTTGAGGACCCTAAAGAGCTTTTGTTTTCATGCTTTAAACACATTGATATCATATTAGAAATTAAACCGGGAAAGTTTTTAAACACAACTATATACAAGCACACACTTTCTTTATCTTCAGAGTGATGTTATCACACATCATAGAGCCTCTAGACTGGAAAAGGAAATAAGGATCTGTTACTCTACAAACACCACAAGGAAAATTGGATTAAGTGGTGCAGCTAATTCTGCAGCGGAAGAATTGGATACAACTGGGCTGTGAGTCAGGCAGGAGGAGCACAGAGGGAGACAAGAGCAAGCATTGGGGATTCTTGTCCTGCTTTGCCCTTGAAAACTACGCCAAGACCTACATCTTTCTCTTTCTTTTTTCTATTTCTCTAATAAGGAGATCGATCATGTTTCATAACTTCATTTAATGACACAGGATCTCCCAATTTCCTTTTAACTACAGGCTATACTGCACAGTGATATGTTTAATTGCTCTCTTTGTATCCTGCCTGCAAAAAAAAAGACGAAATATAAGCTAAACCAAAAAAGCAAACTCACTGCCATCGAGTCAATTCCGACTTATAGCGACCCGTTTTTGGGTTGCCAAGGCTATAAATCTTTTTTTTTT